CTTCACCAGAACCCCTGGATTATAGACCCAGTAGGAGCTCTGGCATACCCCTGTCAAAATTTCCAGCCTTGGCTGCAGCCAACACCTAAAGTTTTGGAAGAAAGAGAATAAAACCACAACACCTTCAGTGAAAGATGGGGGAAAAAATCCTTCCCAAGCTCCATGTGCATAAACTTCCTGCTTTCCACAAACTTCAGAAGTAAAGTTCAGAACCAAAGCCCTTCTACTCTGCCCTGCAACCTAGGAACAGCATGCATGACTTCACACCCCTTTCTGTAATCCCTGCATAAATTTATTTTAGCTCCTTTAATCTTATTTGATAACTAAGTAGACTGTGGAGCTCTGCTTCATTCTTCTGCTACTGAACACAGTCTTTTCCAACATTCACATGCTCTGGGATGCAGGGCTCCTCCCATGATCTCTCAGCAATCCATGGAAGTATGTCGGGGGATGATTCTCCCTGGCCTTCCAATTGTTGCTCTTTACAGAACATTCGAGGCATAGCTATTCTAGATCATCTCTGACAAAGACCCTTGCTACATGTGGAGGTAAAGGCGCAATGAGATCTAATGCGCCATTCATACAGTCATGCCTTCTGCCATGCCATACGTGTATGGCAGGTGGTGTGATTGAGGGGTATGCATTACATTCCATCATATCTTATTGCTGGTGCAGGGGGAGCCTGATACCAGGCTCTCCCTCCACTGGCAAAAAGCAAGTTCCCACAGCTGGGAGCCCAACAAACTAGTTAAGGGATTCCTAGTCACAAGTGCACCCCACACCTCCCCCAGGACTGGAAGATTGCCACAGGGGTGATCCTTCCACCCCAGGGGTATGGGAAACAATTGGGACCAAAGGACTGATGCAGGGGCAACCCCCCCACCCTGGGGCTGCTAGAAACCACTGGGGGAGAGAGGGGAAGGAATTTTTTTTTTAAATGCCCTACATCGATCTATCTAACTTTAGTTGCTCTGCCCCACTTCCCAGAGCCCTAGGAATTGTAGCAGCCATGATCCCCAGGATCCAGGGGTTTCATTTACCTCCCTGATCCCTAGGGATAACAGCAGTTGCAATCCCCAGGGTCCGAGGGTGTGTGAAAACCCTGGGCCCTGGGGATTATGGCTACTGTGATTCCTAGGACACAAGGGTTTTTCCACTAGATATGATGTACCCCTGTGGCTGGAAGCACACAGCTGATGGGGTTCCCAGCAACAGGGGAGACCCTGCTACATGTGCAAATTGAAACTCAGCTATGAAGTTAGACCTGAAATCAGGTATAAGGTTAGACCTGAAAAGTTGTGTGATAGTTACCTTGCAAGTGTAGCTAGCCTCCAGGTAATTGCACAATTGACCAGTTAACTGTGCAACACCTGGAACTTGTAGAGGGGGCTTAATGCTTCTCCACCTTCTTCCTCAAAACCTCCAGTGATGGAGATAACACAGTTTCCCTCAGCAGTGTATTCCACTGCCTCCTGATTCTAACAGTGAAGCTCTTTGCAGCTCTTTCTTGCCTAGAGAGATGTGCACATCATCTTCTTGGCTGCTAAGGATAGGAAATGTGTCCATCTGCTACTTAATACTTCACATTGTTTGCATTATGAATTAATAATAATAATAATAATAATAATAATAGAAGTTTTACATTCCCATTTTCTTATTTTTAAACAGCCTTCTGTAAAGTCTGTAATTCACCTATGAAAGTGATATATGACCTGACAAAGCCATACAGTGTAAGGCCTATAAATATGAAGGTACTATTTCATATGCCTGTGTGATTGCTTTTGAACTAGTCACAAAAGATCACAACATTCTTTATTTAAAGCATAATATATAACACTACATACAAACCGTTATACAAAAACTGACACAAGATCTACAAAGAAATACTGCCCCTCCACCATTACTACAAAACCTTGACCCAGGCTTCTCCAGCTCATTTGTTGTCTACAGCACTGGCAGAAAGAAAGCCATTAGTTTATCAAACTGCCGGATAGCACAGAAAGTGCCACTACTGAGTCACAGAGGGTGCGAGTGTTCCAAAAGCAGTCACGTACATCTAACAGCCACAGTTCCAACAAACATTATTCTTTTGGTTCTGATTCTATTCCTACCCCATTTCTTGATCTTTGCACCTCCATAATGCAGCTGATTGCAGTTTCTCTGGCCTTCATTATTGCCCTGAACATCCATGTTTTTCTGCAATACCTTTTCTCAGTTTTTATCTAATACTTGCTATTCACTCATCTCTCTCATTTATTATTTTGCCTTAAAAGCTGACCTGATATTTAAATACATTTTTCTCAACTTAAATATGTACACATGCTGTATTTCTAAACCACATTTCTCAATTCAAATTTTACTACAATTCTCCATCTCTATGAACAATCCCAACCACTTAGATCAAGAAGTTGGGATGTCCTTGGAGTCTAAAAATGCAGCAATATTTGAAGTCATTGGCACTCTGCAGAGAAAATTAATCTATGTTTTTTAAGACGGTTTAATTGCTCAGCAATCATGCAGAACTGACAAATATAGCTCTGCTTCCAAGATAATAACTCCCCAAATTGCTAAGGTTGCCACTCAATACCCCTGCTAACTCACAAATTGTATAAATATACCTAGTCTCCAAAACTCAAATAAAATTAGATTATTATTGAGCATTAGAGTCCATGGAGTTTTATAACATTTTATGTAACTTGCTAAGCACAGTTATCATGAAAAAAGAAACGAGAGTATAATTAATTTTGCTTGCAAGTAAAGAACTTGTCTCATGTCCGGCCACCTTCTAGAGCATTTATTTAAATAAAACTTTAAAACTTCAATTTTGCCTAAGTGAGGATGGCAAGACGTGACCTTTCATCCAAGTTACCACTAATAAGAATATTCCACTTTGATTTACCTTTGCAGTTTTCCCTTGTAATTTCCACCCTTTCCCTATGCTTACAACACCAACCTGAAATGATATCAGTACTTGTAATGTTATTAATTCTATTCCAATTATTTATCACTATTTCACATTTTAACACAGTATTTACATAGCTAACAAGATATCAAAAGAAGAGCATTATCCAGTTTGCATGCTGATTAAAAGTTTTCCAAAATGATGTTTTATCAAAAATGTTAAAGGACAAATCTGGGTCCCTGTGTAATTACCCTCCAAACCGAGTTAACTGCCTAAGAATGTTTAACCTACTTGAATTTTTGGATGTGTAAATGCTAAAAATCTGACACTAAGTGATTTAGGAACCTGAGGCACTTTGAAAACAGCATGTAGGTTCTTAAGTCACAGTAACTTTCAATGAGAATGAGGCTCCCAAATCATCCAGGTGCTTTTGAAACTTTTATCCAGAGTCTCAAATGCTTTTAAAAACCTGGGAAAATAAAATTCAAGAGGAATTTCAACCATATGAAAACAGTATACTGTTCAGGACCATGGACAGGATTTTCAATAACTATTCAAGAAAAATAAGTCATTATTAAGAAATACAGATTAAACTCTATTGTTGTTATTGCATGTTCAGTGATATTTTTATCAGTTTTTAAAACTATGAATAATTTTGCTGAAATTATAACCGTTTAAATAACAATAAAATGCAGAAACACAATTTAAAACTGCAACCAGAATAAAACTTTTGTGATAGAGAAAATAAATAAATAATAAAATAAACTTGCCAGAGCCTCCTGGCATTACACGCTATTACCAGAAGTATGGACAATTTACATTTACAATATTTGTCTTTATTTGGTATAGTACTAAAGATAAAAGCTCTGTATAAAAAATATCACATAATGCAGCTCCTTTATCTTTAAAGTTTTGTACATGGTTTTCCAATCTCTACTACGATTATAGGAAACAAATAAATTATCCTATAATACAGGTTTCTTTCACTTTGTTAAAATAAGCCAGTAATGCATGTTTCATAAATCACAGCATTTATGATGACAAATTGTTTGACTAATGAAACTGGTGACAATGAAACTTTTTCATCTTTTAATGTATACAGATATAAAACAACTAGCAGTAGTAATTTTCAGTGAAAAAGCCTACTTTACATATTCAGTACCATAGCTATGACAAGACAGCTCAGAACTGAGGACAGGATGAAAAACTGCCTTCTCAAATTAATCAACATTCCTAAATCTCTGTTAGCCACAAACAAAAATATTTCTACAATTTTCTCTAAGCTGCTACAATACGACATCAATACCATTAATATCTCCATCACCGTTCTTAAATAAGTAATCTACCTTACTATGAAAAACCATTGAATCTTAATGTCAACAGTGGCATTTTATACTTTCAGACTCTAAGGAAGCAGCTAAACTCTGACATATATAACATACTTTTAACATATATATTCCTGAATTAGACCTGTCGCACATATTAATCAGACTTCCTCAATCAGCTTCACAGGCACTTTCATATGTATACATTGGATAACGTATGCCATTGACTTGGGGCCAAATACCGGTGCCACTGAAATGAAAGGGAAATCTGCCAGTGATTTAAATTACATCAGGGCTGATCCTTTGATAAGTTTAAGGTTTACTTATTATTTTGTGAATAATGATTACTCTACAGTATTCAAGACAATATCTAGACATTATTTGGTAAGTACCAGTACCTGGTAAAATGGGAGTATTCAAATAACAAAACATGCACTCACATTTTGCAGAGGCTTTGAAAAATATTCTAATTTCACTGTCAAATTGAGCAAAGTGAAATAAGAACTGGCAAAGAAACCTGCCTTAATTTTGATTTTTAAAAAGTTCAAACTTTTATCTCTGGGGCCCCTTAATTTTTGCATCATGCTGAAACCTATTCACATATGTAAACTGTTTCATAGATTTAAAAAGCACCTGCTCAAGTCCATACAGTTTCTGTAACAAAAATGTACTGTCTTGCATTTTCTAAAAAAGTTTTTGAAATTGAACACTGCCCCACGTGTGCCAATAAATTCAGTGAAATGTTGGCCCTGGCCAAACCCATCTCCACTTACCCCAGTGTTGTCATAGTGACAATGGTGTACCAAAAAGCCGCAGGGATGCTGGTGAACTTGGTGGCTGATGAACCTTTTTCTGCATAAAACATGACCGTGGCAAAGATGATGATGGCCATGGTAAGTGAAAAGAGGAGAAAGCCTAACTCCGAGGCACAACTCTTCAGCGTGTAGCCCAGGATACGCAGCCCCTGCGAGTGGCGGGAAAACTTAAAGATCCGGAAGACACGGAAGACACGCAGTGTCACAAAGGCCCCACTGACATCCTCATTATCTGTCATCACCAAGCCAATGTAATAGGGCATGATGGCGACTACATCAATAATACTCATGACACTGCGCACAAATTTGTAGCGGCTGGGAGCTGCCACCAAACGCAGCAAATACTCAACAGTAAAAATCATGACACAAGCTGTATCCAGGCAGAAGAAAGCTACAGCATAGCGCTCTCCACAGGGCAGCTCCTTGATACGACCAGGACTTATGCCACAGGGCACTGTCTCCACCACATTGGCGATGACAGAAATAGCAATGAAGAAACCAGTGACATAGTAGAAGACCAGGGCCAGTGTACTGGTGTGTGGGTTTTCGAAGGCCCGCCACATCCTCTGCCGAGCCGTCATGGAAGGCAGGGAGTTCTCGGCTGCATGATCCTGGTCAGCATCATCCTGCAAGCGCTCGGCGTTCTCACGCCGACGATCCTTGTACTCCTCATAGCAGCAATCGCCAATGATCTCAGGGATGATGCCAAAGAAGGCCAGCTCCTCATCGTATGCCGAGATGCACTCTTGCCGGGGGTAATGAAGCTTCCCTGTACGGTAGAAATTGAGTATGTGACGGAAGATATCAGGATCTCGGTCAAAAAAGTACTGCTGCGTTTCTGGGTGGTAGAAGAAGTCTCGCTCTGAGCTGCCCAGCAGCGTATCCGGGTAGCGCTCCAGGGTATCCAGCCAAGTCTGGAACTGGATGCCGCTCACATTCAGCACAATCAGAGAGTCCTGGCTTCGCTTTCTCTCCTGCCGGGGAGCAGCTGGCATGGGACTTGTGGCCACTGGCATCCATCCTATGGCTGCTGCCCGGGCAAAGGGCAACCAAGCTGCTACTCCTGCTGCCATGGTCCAAGCTGCTAAGGCTGCTTCTGCTGAGGGATCACTTCAGAGCCAATCCTGGCTTGGCCACTAAATACATAAATTAAAAAAAAAAAACCACAAAACCCTGAATGAATCACAAACGCTCAAATACTCCCAAAGCCACGCCAGGTCCTGCAGGCTCCTAAGTGCTGTTACTCTGCCTAAATAGCAAAGGCTGTCCTGAAAATGTTGCCTGCTCCTCTTTTGTCTCCCAACCACTGTCTGCTAGTCAGTCAGCAGAAGAGATCAGGAGACAGGGAAAGTCATGATGTCCCCGTGTGCAGTGAAACCAGTGCCTCCCCCTCCCTACCAACTGGCTCTGGTGGAGAAAAGCTCCATATGTTGCATGTAGACAGAAGAGAGAGGTGCAAACGCGAGTCACCAGCCGGGGACAACGGGGGCCCCCCAGCCGATGGCTCTTGCTTCCTCAGTGCAGCCACCTGAGGAGAGGGGGGCTCTTCTCGGCCTCTCCGCCAGTGCCCCCAGCCCGGCTCTTCTCCGCCGCTCCTGCCCGAGCCCCTTGAGCGGGATGCCGGGCGCTGGCGAGCCCCTCCCACGGCCCTCCCCTCTCGTCCCCTCCCCGAGAGCTGCGGGGCCCCGGGGGGAGTGGGCAGAGCGGGCGGCCGCCCCCT